CTAAAATAAATAAAGAAAGAATAAGTGAAGAGAATGAATGAAAGGAAGAAAGAAAGAAAAGAAAAAAGCACAAAAAAATAAAATTAAAAATTAACAAAGGAACGAATAAAAGAATGAAAAATGGACGAAAAAGGCCAAAAAGGGAAAGAAGAGTAAAACATAAATGAAGACACACTATAGTAAAATCTGAAAGTAAATTATAGGAGAAAAATTAAAAGAAAGACAGAATAAGTAAAGGAAAACAAATACAGAAAGCAAAAAACAGGAAGGAAAGGAGAGAAAACATTAGAAGAAAAGAAAAATGTAGGAGCAATTAAGAAATGGAGGAATAAATTTAAGAAAAATAACAAAAAAAAAAAAAGAAAAATTGAAGATGAATAAGTAAAGGAAGGAAGTCATATAATTTGAATGAAAATTTTAGAAAAAATTAGAAATTTTAGAATATAATGATAATATTTTACAAATGATACAAGAATAAAATTAGAAGTCAAAAAGACTGAAAATGAATAGCTTAAAATTGGATAAGCAGAAATGGGAAATTACAATTAATACATAAATCACTAAGGCCGGAAGAAGAAAAACAACAGTGTGTTATAGGGGAATGGCTGGAAGAAAACGATGAATAGAGGATTAAATAGAACGAACAAAATATTCAGAAAAGCTGGAAAAGCGAATGAAACAGCAAATAAATAAAATAAAGAAAAACAAATAATTTTGGTGGAATCCACAGTTCTAAAATATACAGTTAATAATAATACCATAATATATATATATATATATATATATATATATATATATATATATATATATATATATATATATATATATATATATATATAATATATGTATATATATATATATGCTGTATATAATAAATATATATATATATATATATATATATATATATATATATGCTGTTTATATATATATATATATATTATATAATATTTTATAGATACTATTTTAAGTAAATGCTCTGTTTATAATTTTTCTTTGAGATTTCTCAGACATTTAGGCCGGTAATTGTTAATATTGTTAATTATTAACAGAGCATTTACTTAAATTAGTTGTATGTATAAGAATTACGTGTAAACAAAAACCAAAAAAATATATTAAAAATATATTAAATAATTGTTGGACTTATATATATTGTTTTTTATAATCAATTCACCTCAAGGGAGGCAATAATAACACTAAAACGCAAAGTGTTACTGAGAGTGAATGAGAATGAGAAGACTTTAGAAGGATCCAGAAAACCCAATCCTACAGAGGAAACAAGGAATCAACCTCTACTATTATTTAAATGATCAGGGAGGAGTGTGAGCAGGACGATAGGCAAACTTATCCACTCCTATTAAGTTATACACTGGTACTAAGACTTGGGGTTTCATGCACAACAAAGTCTTCAGGTGATGAGCAATTATATGTAAATTTATTATTTTATATACTTAATGTCTCTACTCAGCACCTGAAGATTCCTTTGTGCACGAAACTCCGAGTCGAGCAACCGGTGGAGAATAGTTCCTATATATATTTATTAATATGTACTTAATAACTATGTTCTATTACATCGAGCATTATCCTATTGACACCAGGACTCAATGTTCGTTTTACATATATATATATATATATATATATATATATATATATATATATATATATATATGTAGAAATAACGAAGGTATATTACACGAAATAATAATACAAGATGTGGAAGTTGAAGGTGGTTTGGAGTGAACTACTATCGGCGCGACTAGATTCGACCCTCTCTCTTGAGAGGCGTAGTATACATAGTGTTAGGAAGAGTTCATTCTGTAGTTATAGGTAAGGGCACATGGCACTTAAACTGTTGTATTTCAAGGTTTCCACTCTGTTTTACGGCCAACAGCAAAAAGAAAATGAGCGATTGAAAACATGAAACGATTTTTTTGTTCGTTTCGATCAGTAGAAAACATTATTTGGGAGAAGAAACCGAGTTTCCTGTGCCTATTTTATATATATTTTCATGTTAAATGTTTTGATGAACTCTTCTTTGTGGTACATAGACTCTTTAAGTCCGTTACTAGATTGGCGGCTAGATGTCATAATTTAGCCCTCAAAATGGTTAGATGTAAATTCTCATAGCAGTACACAGACCTTAAAGAAATGGTTAATGTGCATAGGCATTTTCGTTAATATCTTTAAACATGTCAAAGCACGGTCTTGAAAGATATAGGAGTTCTGATCAAAAAGTATCAGGATTCTTGCTATGGTAACGAGGCTAAAGTACGCAGAGTGGAACCGTTTGGCACAAATAGATTTGAACTCTGTCGCGCGTGTACATTGTTATAACGTTCTCACTCGCGTCCTTTGTTTATAGCAGTATGTGGAAGTCAAGTGTGCAGAGTGTGGTCGTCTCAACACGCCCCAAAGCTTCCAGTCGTGCGGCAGTTTTTGGCCAATAAAAACATTCCACAGGTCCGACAATCACCATATTCTCCAGAGTCAGACACTTCAAAAATCAAATCCCACTAGAAAGGAACAAAATTTTAAGACGTCGAGGAAATCCAAGTGAATGCGACGAGGCAGCTGCTCGCTATCAGTGGACTCGGCATTGGCTTCAGAAGGGGACTACTTCAAAGAAGAATAAATGCCGAATTGAGGCAGTTTTCTTTTTATAGCGCCAGTCCGGTACTATTTGATGAGCCCTCGCATTAAAAAAAAAAGCAAAGTGTAAAATGGATAAGGATATTCGTGTGGTTTAGCGGCTATCGTTGAACCAGGCCCAACTTCCGGTCTGATCGACTGCATTCATTTTCACACTTATATCGTTAGGAAAATCATGAATCTATTTTTTCCACCCAAATATGGGTTAAATAGCTAGGTATATTGAATTCTATAGTCTTGGTTAGAAACCAGTATAAGAGAAAGAAATCTATTAATTCCAAACCATGGTAAGGTAACGAAAGCAACTCGACTATTTTTTTGCTAGGAAGACATTGATAAATAGATAATAATTAAGAAAAAAAGGAACCTTTGGCAATCTATTATTCTTCTGAAGAAACATGGAACTAAAAAAAAAAGATAGCCAAAATCGCCTACATTCTTAATGGGAATGGTTTAAAAATACAGCTTGTTAAAAAGCTGACACTGGAGGTAAACATTTTACAGCTAATGCCTGATTGATTGATTTAATCTTTGTCTAGAAGCCAGAAAAATTATTTTTTTTAGATCTTAAGATTTATTTTAGATAATAATACTTTAGTGATACAAAACAATTAACAATTGCGAGCCATTATACATTACACTACCCCCCATCCAAGCTTAAAGCATATGGTATTCCCAAGCGGTCACCCATCTAAGTATTAACTAAGTTCAACTTCGTTGATCATACAGGAAAAAGTGTTTGAACGTGATCTGGCCATAAATCTCTTTATTCGTAAATGCCTAAAGGTAGATATTGACGACTGGTTCACTCAGATGATCATTCAAAGAGCTTATTTTTCAATCATCTGCAGACAAGGATTTTCTCTTTAAGCGAACGAGACAGCAACCAGGGAGAGTTTGATTCATGCCTTCACAAACGGTATCATTACCAAGTGGACGGAACAAGTTTATTCCAGAAAGTGAACTCTCTTCGTCAATTCCGTTTTCCAAGCTGTTAACCGTTACCCCTCTACATTAAACAAATTATCTTTGCTAAACAAAATAAAGAGAGAGAAAAAGAAAGAGAAAAAAAAGTGAGCAGGAATGTGCTTACTGAAAGAAGAGAAAAAGATAATGACGTTTATTGCGAGGAGAGAGGAACTGTTTTCCGGAAAACACGCCATCTCTAAGTCGAGTACAGTTAATGACTATCACGTGACCAGCTCCTGGGAAATGCTATTGCGTGCGCAACGCGTTCATAATGTTACAACAATCGTATGCATGCGAGCTATTCACAAAGGAAATGTGAACGTGTACAGACGGGAATTCACCCGAGCTTGTAAACATGCATTCACTCAATTATTAAGAGGTAGCCACGCTATGCGTATATATGAGTCTTTTATTTTTACCAACCATTTCTCACACAAAGTTATAAAGAACTTTTTTAGCAGCAAAATTGTAAGGCATCGATTTCCCGAAGAATTCTGGCCATTGTGAAATTTCTTAGCTTTAAAATGGGGTCTCCTTCAATAAAAGAATTAATGGCGTGTTGATTGAGGTTCGAGATGGTGACTCTTAGAGAGAACAAATTCTGGTAAGCAATTCAGTGTACAGAGAACAATTTCTCTAATTACACGTGAAAGTGTTATTTACTTTGTCTAGGTAAGGTCACAAGTTTAAGACACCCAGTATTGACCGATCTGATTACACTAATGATTATCTCCAAAATGAGCTGGATAAATTATTCTTCATGGCGATAAGTTATTGTTCATGGGTGATTATATTTAATAGGTTGATCGGAACCATGCTTTGATATTTTCATTGGTTTCCTTCGATTCGTGTTTTCAGGTGTTCATTGTCAATTGATGACGGAAGTATTCTACCACGTTGATTTTCAAGACTCATATCCCCACTGAGGAACTTCAGAAACATTAATTTTTATCTCTAGTCTTAACTAACTAATGTGGAAATAAAATTTTACAATATCATTTTGCATGGGTATTAAAAAACTATTTTAAAAGATGTTAAATATATTTTAGTATACTTGCCAGTTAACCAGCGCAAGTCGAATTTTGCTTAACTGAAGATACACTGCATTCAGTTGTTGGCTGTAAACTTTGGAAGTGATGATCTGGTTAGATTCCAGAAATCTTTAGTGGATAAAGCCAGTGGAGGACAGTCAAAATAATCTCCTGTTGATCTTATTTCGGCTTCAGAAAATGTTTTGGTGGTTCGTCGTAATCAAGCCATTGGGGCGTGCGTTTACGATTGGCATAAAGGATCAAATTCTCATAGCAAATTTTTCTGGTTACATGCTTTCCAGCCAACTTTGATATCCAATTCTAACAATTCTTTTGTTTTTCATGGTCAAGACG